ATCTCTGGTACATCCAGTGTGTACTTCACGATACTGCATCTCTAGTACATCCAGTGTGTAGTCCACTATACTGCATCTCTAGTACATCCAGTGCGTAGTCCACTATACTGCATCTCTAGTACATCCAGTGTGTAGTCCACTATACTGCATCTCTAGTACATCCAGTGTGTAGTCCACTATACTGCAACTCTAGTACATCCAGTGTGTAGTCCACTATACTGCATCTCTAGTACATCCAGTGTGTAGTCCACTATACTGCATCTCTAGCTATACTGCATCTCTGCGTGTACGTATACCTTTGATAAACTCGGGTGGCAGATTGCGCACTGGGTGTTTCCGGTTGAATTCTTCTGCCTCTCGTCGTGTCCGCTTTCGGGCCTTAGCGCGTCGGTAACACACAGCAATGGCTGTGATTACCACCAGAAACACCACACTCAGCAACACACTCACAATCACCACCGCACGCTTGTCCTGTTTGTTCACAGAGAGAGAGAGAGAGAGAAAGGGTGTTAATAAGGAGTCTCACCTAACACACAGAAATGGCTGTGATTACCACCAGAAACACCACACTCATCAACACACTCACAACCACCACCACACTCTTGTCGTGAGTGTTCACATACACAGAGAGAGGGGGGTGGGGGGGGGCGAGTTAATAAGAAGTCTCAACTAATACGACAACACACTCAAATCAGACACCAAGACATCTCTCAGGATATCACACACAGACAACAGACACCAAAACGTTCCCTAGATAATACGACAACGCACACAAGCATAGACACCAAAACGTTCCTCAGGTAGTACGACAACGCACACAAGCACAGACACCAAAACGTTCCGCAGATAGTACGACGACACACACAGAATCAGTCACCTTTAGTTTTGCGCAGGTGTAGTTGTTCTCGTCTGTCGAATGGATATCTCCAGGGATGCACATCTCGTCAATGGCACACCCGTGCGCCACTTCATCGTTCTGCCGTACGCCATTAACGTCATACACGCCACACGCACTCTCACAGCAGTACCCTTCTTGACAGTACGAGTCCGGGTGGCACAGATAGCCCGCCTGACACTTGTGTGTGCCTGAGGACACGAGGAGTGGGTGGTACGTGCAGAGATGTGAGTGAGTGTCTTCGGTTGAAGTGGTGTGATGTAGTGTGCGTTGTAACGTGTATAAGCGGACGAATATATAGAGGTGCTGCACTTATGGCTTACACATGGCACCTCCAGTGTCATAGATGTGTCTATTTCAGTAGTAGTATTATACATTGTAGATGTATGTGTGTATATGCAAACCGAATTCTTATTGTATGTCTCTGTTTGTGATGTAGATATATGTGTGTATATGTATACCGGATTCTCATTGTATGTCTCTGTTCGTGTTGGAGATATGTGTTTATATGCATACCGGATTCTCTTTGTACGTCTCTGTTCGTGTTGTAGATATGTGTGTATATGCATACCGGATTCTCAGTGTATTATTCTACTTGAAAAGCATGTCCGTTCTGTGGTGTTGTGTGCTGTGACGTTGTAAACCCCTAAACCCCAGAACCCTGAACCGCAACCCACAGGCATACCCACTCCATCCACTTACACCACAACCACAACACCACACACCCTGCACGCAGGCCATAAAGTCTGCTTCATACGCTCCGCTATGCTCGCTACAGGCGATAGTGAGGTAGCCATTGCGGTCAACCAACTCAGCTATACGCCCCCCATAGTATGTGGCTGGGATGAGTCCCTCTCCTCTACGATAGCACTCGTACTTGCTTTCACGTTCAATCAACGGACCTTGTTCCTTGAAGGTGCTGTTGCGTGAACAGCTGTCTATCTTATCACCTTCTGTCACACCTGTGTGGTGGTGGTGAATGGATGAGTGAATGGATGGATGTGTATATGTATGTATGTATGCATGCCTGTATGTATAGAATATATGCACAAATGCATATATGTGCGTTTAATCACTACCTACACGTTGAATTTTGAATGTAGGGTCTTGCCCGTATACCTTCAAATGGTACTTTTCACCCAGCAAGCGATAACGTGTAAGTACCATTAATAATAGCCAACTGTCCTATAGTATGGAGCTATGGCAAGGGATGATATGTTTTGTATCTGTGTGTGACATAACTGTGTCAAGGGATGATATGTTTTGTATTTGTGTGTGACATAGCTGTGGCAACACATGAGATGCTTATCTGTATAAGCCACGGTAGAATACGGCACGTGGACCTGAAGCCATGTACGATGTACGATGGGTCCATACAAGAGGTGATGAACAATATTTTTTAACGACATCTTGGATGGTTGAACCTTGAGTGTATGCATGCATATATGCGTTAAAATGCCTTTTGTGTGTATTGAGTGTATGTATGCATATATAGGTTATATTGAATCCTGTGTACAGTGGGTGTATGCATGTATACACATAAAATAGGATGAATTTTGTGCGATTGGTATATGGGCGTGGGTCTAGAGTGCGCGACCGTGAACACAACACAGTAATCGTACACACCAGGCGTCTGTGGGTAGCAAACCAACTCGGAATGGACAATTATAAAACCTTCTGAAGATATCTACTGAAACCACTTGCAAGCACTGAATGAGCTTTGCGGACATGGCTACAGTGTGAATATTGGGCCCACATACTTCGGACAAAGCCCACACATTTAGGACCGATCAGACACATTTAGTTTAGGACTACTCTCACTCATGTAGGACAGACTCCACAGTACTCACCGGATGCTTCGGACAGGAAGTATATCCAGGGATAGAACAAGTCGGCCCCTGTCAGGCAGTAGGAGGAGAGACCATGAGAGACGCAGGGGAATGGTGTGAGAGACGCAGGGGAGTGGTATGAGCGTAACCTACAGTTGTAGCACAGCTGAGCGTGTGTGGGTGTGGTGATGTGAATAGGTGTGCACGTAGCGTATCCTCATATGTTCCCCGCACTCTTAGAGTGCGATACATGCAGTGGTGTGGTGCATTGGGTTGGGTTGGGTTGGGTTTGGTTGAGTCGGGTTGAGTTGGGTTGGGTTGGATTAGGTTGCGTTGGGTTGAGTTGGGTGAGGTTGGGTTGGGTTTAGGGTTTGCTGGTTTGAGCACAGTTCTGTTATCTGCGATGTCATTGAGTGAGTAGACATTCCTAGTCACACACATATAAGCCTATCCATCAAAATCGTGCATTAAATTTATCTAATTCATGCAATTCGGGTACCAAATGAGCCCGTTTTGTTCCGTACCATAACACGCCACAATAAAATAGGAAAGCCTCGTACCCAAACAGAACAACCTCACACCCAAAAAGGACAACCTCACACCCAAACAGAACAATCTCATACCCAAACAGGACCATCTCACACCCATACAGGACAACCTCACGCCCAAGCAGGACAATCTCATACCCGTAAAGTGGTTTGCGTATACGTGGAAATACACTGTGTCGTTCACTCCATATCGGTGTCTCGAATTGTTCGCCAATCCAAACGAGTTGCGGAAAATGCCCTCGGAATAGCAGTCGGTTGAGCGGTTGTCGAGGTACATGGAACTGCGGAACTTAAGCCCTTCGCACTGGAATCAACGCAAGCACTCGCAGTCAGTGACGAGAGAGTGAGAGAGTGAGAGAGTGAGGGGACCCACTCCTTACCTGGGGCTGCTACAGCCCCCACTCCACAGTGAATGTCGTTCAGCGCATGCAATAGGGTTTTAGGGTTTTAGAGTTTTAGGGTTTTAGAGGTACACGTGTGTGATTGTAAAGGGACATTGGACGATGAAAGTCACAAGTCCCATAGCAACGCGCGGGCGTAGAGAACAATTTTGAACCACACACGCAGGTTTGCCTGCAGCGATGCAACAGGTAACTGTAACCTTGGATCACTGGGCTTCTCCGAGCATTCGGTCACACACCGTCCAGATTGGTTGCCATGGAAACTCAATGCGGTGCAGCAGATGTACAATTGCGAGTGGCACGGCACTCGTCTGTGTCACCGAGTGGACCACCTGGGGTACTTCAGAGCGTGATAAAAAGACTGCAGAAAGGCTGCAGCAAATACAAAGTGTGTCGCATGTCTTCTCTATTCACAGTACTTGCGAGCTCGAACTATCACGCATGTACAGGCACCAGTGACCAGACACATACAGCACATCCCTCGACCCACACACCTGCATGTACGTCACAATCATCTCATCAAACTCTCCGTCCGTGGGCTCGTCACAGGCATTGCCAAACCATCCAGGCGCACACTCACCCCCATACACTGTGTCCACACAGTCTCCGGGTACACACACATGCGGCTGCCGTGTACCGCACTTTATGGTGACGGTATCATTACGTAGAATGTCCGCGAGAAGGCCGCCTATACCCACGCACCGATCACTTAGAGCCTAGTGGGCGTGGGAGGGATGTCATGAGATGTGATTGAGTGTCGGTCAGCTATCTTTGAGGTGTGAGGTGACTACCCTAGCGCGTGTGTATGTGTATATGGTTGCTGGAGTGTCGGCAGGCTCGGGTGCGGAGTCGAATGTGTTATATATCATAGCAGTACGTGGCTTGAGTGAATATATAATATCTTCCAATAAGCATACCCACCTTTATACACATTGGAGAGTAACCCCATTTGCATCGATATACATAGTCAAATGCATGTCTCACTAGATGCAGTATTTTATGCGTCTCAAGATTGATTGAAAATTTTGATCCATTTCTTCAGCGTAAATTGCATACATTACAAAAAGGTAAAAACACGTTGGTCGTGCATATTGATACCTTATTAACGTAAAAATAAACATGTACATATACATATCAATATTATATATATATATATATATATATTTGTATGTATGTATGTATGTATATTATATAAATATCTATATATATACATATATATATATATATATGTATATGTACATATATATATATACATATATATATGTGCGTGTGTGTGTATAAAATATATATATATATGTGTGTGTGTATACATATAAATATATTAATATATATATATATATGGATATATATATGTGTGTGTGTGTGTGTGCGCGCGCGTCGTTTACATATATATATATATATGTGTATGTGTGTGTGTGTGAGTGTGTGTGTGTGTGTGTGTGTGTGTGTGTGTGTGTGGGTGTGTGTGGTGTGTGTGTGTGTGTGTGTGTGT